TAGACGAGCCATATTGAACCCTCCAATCTAGACAGTCCTCCATCTGAATGCAGCTGCCTAGGTGAGCCCAAGTGAAACCAGAAATACTGGCCAACCAACTCTAAAAGTAGTGAGAAATAGCCCTGGCTGGTGTGGTTCAGTCGGTTGAACATCATCTCATGCACCAAAAGGTTGCCTGTTTGATTCCTGGTCAGTGCACATGCCCGGGGACCGGGGCTGCAATTAGAGTTCATGTGCGGTGAGAAATAAGTTAAGTCACTAAGGATTGTGGTTGATTGCATAGAAACAGTTAACTGATACCCTCCCTAGTTTTATGTGTGTGTACTTTTCTGTTTGTTTCCATCTCTTTTGGGTCATGAGCTAATTCTTGGATAGCTGGCAGTTCTCTATTTTCTGAGGCATAAGCCTGGGAAGAATAGGCCTGCCTGCCAATATTCTGGAACAAGTAAGTTTGACTTAATTCCCCAGTTTTCAGGTCTGTACTCCTGCTCTCAGCTGTGCCTTGTGCCCTCCAGGTTGGATGTCCTCTGTTTTACATTTTCCAGTCTTCTGCTGGGGCCAGGAAGGGTATTTAATTGGTTTTGATGAATAGGGGAGGGGTCTGGGAGTTTTAACTGCCTCTTAAATAGAACTTTTAACCAGTCATTAGTTTTTAACACCACTTTACTGCTGCTTCCAGAGGAATTGTGCTGCCAACTTCAGAGCCTTTGGAGGAGGGCGGTGATTGTTGTTGGGGAGGAGGGGGTGGAAGCTATAATTTGGGTTTGTACTTTTGTGCTGTAAATTGTAAAGCTGTCCCTGCTTTAGGATTTGGCTTTATGAGGTCGCCAAGCCAGTGACCATTCACACTTCTAGCTTTCAAAATTTTGATGTAATTTCCTCGATTATATTCTTTGTGTTTGAGGCGCTTGGGCTTTTTTTAAAAATCACTTAATCATTTCATCTTTAAACAGATCCCACTCTCTAAATAGGCTACTCCTTGCTGCAAGTGTAGAGAACCAGAAACAACTCTTCTCTGACATTCAAAGGGAGAGAGGACAAATGTTTAGTTTTTAGCAGAGGAACATGGAAAGAGACTTATTCATTCAACAATTACCTGTGCCTGGCTCTGGGATGTGAGGGTCTGAAGAAGGGATACATGGTTTGGGCCATCCTCTCCCTTCATCACACCATCTAGCTTTAGCTGTAATACCTGATTTCATGGAGAAAGCCCCCTTTTTGTGCTGGCTATAGAAGACCTCCTATTGCCAATATGTCCTTGGCTGGAGCCCAAGAAAACTCTGGAATGAATTTGAGGGTATAATGGCCTAAACCAGCCGTGGGCAAACTACGGCCCGCGGGCCGGATCCGGCCCGTTTGAAATGAATAAAACTAAAAAAAAAAAAAGACCGTACCCTTTTATGTAATGATGTTTACTTTGAATTTATATTAGTTCACACAAACACTCCATCCATGCTTTTGTTCCGGCCCTCCGGTCCAGTTTAAGAACCCATTGTGGCCCTCGAGTCAAAAAGTTTGCCCACCCCTGGCCTAAACTGTGAAGCCTGGTATTTTTAACCATGGTGCTGAGTTATGAGGAACCCAAGGGCTTTTCCTGGCCAGTCCGAGGGGCCGGCATGGTTGGGGTCTTGGTTTTGTTTCAATGGGAGACCTCAGACATGTCAGGCAGTTCACCACAGGGAGTCACCAGGGGCAGCACACACTATCCTCCTGGCATGGCAACCCAGTGGATGGGAACAGAGACCAAGTACCCCCAGACGAGGTGAGGCCACGGAGGCCCAGATGGTAGAAAGGCCACCCTGAATGGCAAGGGGGTTGTTTTGGTATCTGAGCTGCTCCCTGCTCTCCCCCTTGGTCTGTTTTGGATGGCATTTGGGCACCTTACTTGAGTCAGGATCCTCTGAGGTATTTGTGTGGCTTTGGCATCAAGCACAGTAAGTGGGTATTTTGCTCCAGTCACAGCAGCCTCTGGGCCACAGAACAATAGTCCTTGGAGAGTCAGTGAAATTGAGCCCTGGAAGAGTGTTCAGTGGGACTAACGGCCAACTGACCTAACTTGGACCACGCTTCCTGCTGCATCAGGGCAATGGGTTATGGACCTGATGTAACCATCCACCTTTGTCTATGCATTCCTGTGCAGACATACGGGTGTGTGTGTGTATGTGCGTGCACATGCCTATGTACTTTTTAAAGAAAGAATACTTCTACTTTAAAAAAATGGGAATTAGGCAATTGGTGGAGAAAATTATTCTTCTCTCTAATACCTTTGTTTGGACTTAAACCGGAATAACTTTGATGGGAATTGTTGAGAAGCGTTTATTATTTTGAATTCTACTCCTTTCCTTACAGTTGACAGTATGTCTGCCAGCTTTAACTTTCATAAAGGTTAAAGCTAATCCACGCAGAGCCCTTCCTATCTTGCTTCTTGTCTAGAAGCTCAGGTATAATGAGAGGCTGAACAGGAAAATCCTGATTGATTGTTCTTAGAGGTATGTATGTGTGTATGTGTAGTCCTATAAATATGTTAAATTCCTCTCTTCAGGTTCTGAATATGTTATGTCATACTAACATATAACAAAATATATATTATTCCCTCCTGCCTCCCTCTTCCTGCTTTGCCTTCTTTTTATTATTAAAAAAGGAATTATGAAAAATATAGCCCAAGCCACATGTAGCTCATTTCTTTAAACATTTCTTTCATTTTCTTCTCTGTATGGTGATATTTCTCTAAATTAAACTAGTAAGTGTGTGACTGTGATGAATATCATCTTTTAGAATTGGTTCATTTTAAAATATAGAGACATGTACTAATCATGTAGTAGATTTTTATTTTGAAAACCTCTATAGCTTTCAGTTTTTTACATTGTAAGGTCTTCTAATGTTTCTTACCTCTTCCAAGCTGAAATCTAGATTTGATCATCAGTGGTTCCTGAACTTCTCTTACACATATCTCATATGCTTATCTCTGTGAAAACAATCCTGTACTGACTTGTACTGTTTTCCTCCACTTTGTTTTTTCTGTCTGATCCTCGCCATTTTGAGCTGTTGAAGACGGGAGGTGGTGAAATAAAATTAGAAAGAGGACTTTCGCTTGGAGCAGCGATTCAAAACATCCCCATGCCCAGTTATGTGATGCAAAGTATACAACCCTTTTCTTTCCACACCCATCTTTCCCATTGCTCTGTGCCCTAATATGGTTTATGAATCTTTTTTTAAAAATATATTTTATTGATTTTTTACAGAGAGGAAGGGAGAGAGACAGAGAGTTAGAAACATCGATGAGAGAGAAACATCGATCAGCTGCCTCCTGCACATCTCCCACTGGGGATGCGCCTGCAACCCAGGCACACGCCCTTGACCGGAATCGAACCCGGGACCCTCCAGTCCGCAGGCCGACGCTCCATCCACTGAGCCAAACCGGTTTTGGCTGGTTTATGAATCTTGATGGAAAGGGCAGTATTTACATTATTAAGACTGATGCTCACCGTAGCCAGTTTGTTTAGTGGATAGAGCAGCATTGGCCTACAGATTGAAGGGTCCTGGGTTCGTTTCCGGTTAAGGGCACATACCTAGGTTGCAGGCTCTATCCCTGGCCCTGGTTGGTGCATGTGTGGGAGGCAACCAATCGATGTGTCTCTCTTACATCAGTGTTTCTTTCTCTCTGCCTTTCCGCTTCCCTTCTACACTCTCTAAAAAACAAAAACAAAAACAAAAAAACACAATGGAAAAATGTTCTTGGGTGAGGATTAACAACAACAACAACAAAAAGACTGATGTTCTTCAGAGCTAAACCACGGAGTATAATGTGCTTGTTATATGCATATCATAAATCTTAGTTTCTCTCATAATCATAACTAGAATTTACTAATATAGAAAGTAACACCTTAGCCATTTCAAACCATGAAATGTTAGATCAGGAAAAGACCGTAGATTTTTTTGGAGTCAATAGTTATCTCCGCAACCCCCTTCATTTGCTTTGTTTCCAATGTATTTATTACAAACTCACCCCCCAAACTCTGCCAGCTGCTTAAATCAGTGCTTCATGTTTATCTCCGTCAGTTTCATCTTCTTGGAGATACTGCTCCCAGGGCCCTCTGATCTTTCCAGCCTGCTGAGGTTGTCTGATGGCCTGCCACAGCCTAGGACGCTCCTTTACTATCACCCTGGGGTTTCCTTTTCTTCTTCTTATGGTAGATACCCTTTCTGATTCTAGTATTTTCCCCTTTCTTGATTTATACTTTAGTTTTGATGGAGCTCATGCTCCAGTATCTTCCTGAGAAAGGGTGCATAAAGTGAAATATTTTGAGACCTTGCCTGTCTTAAAATGTTTTTACTTAACCCTAAATTTATTTAGTAGTGATATGGTTCTAAGAATTCTTATCTGGAATTCAATTGCCTTCAGCACTTTGAAGGCATTGATCCATTATCTGGCTTCTGTGGTTGATTTTTATGAAACATGAAGACATTTTCTGCTTCAAATCCTTTTTATATGGTTTATTTCCCCCCCACCCCCTCCCTGGAAACCTAATTGAGCCACACCAGCCTGGCTCTTTTCTCATCTGAGAATATTATTAGTTTTCTTTTTCCTGTGCACGGTCTGTTTCCTTTGAACATTTTGGGGGAATTCCTAACATAAGCAACATATTTAAATCTCGACCTTGTTGGATTCCCTAGTAAATAGATCTCTGTGTTGGCTTGACTGCCTACGTTCTAGGGGCTGATAGCTGGAAATAGGGAATGAGATTTCAATAGTCATTGTCTTTGTCCTTGGGTTCGCTTAGTTCCACTGTTTCCTGATTGGGAACCCTGCTTTCCATTATGCTTGTCGTGCCCCAGCCTGGAGAACCTCTGCAGAAGCTAAATGCTGGGTCTCTGTCAGGTTTGTGGCAGACACCCAGTTGTTTTCTAAATAGCTGCCAGTCAATACTCTTCAACACACACACACACACACACACACACACACACACACCACCCCACAACACTCCCAATCCCCACTGGTATCTGTGCCAACATTTCCCTGAACCTTTTGAAGATCCTGTAGCATAAACAGAGCTGGCTCTTTCTTTCCTTACTGTTAAGCCTGGGATTCTCAGGTCTGTTTAATCAGTTGCCTTTCATCCATCTGCTTCTCAGATTTTACTTGCTGCCTCTTCTCTCACTTTTCCGAGGTCATTTTGTCTGTCCTCCCACTCCAGTGAGTACTCAACTGAACCCTAAGGCTGACTGATTGGAGCTGTCCACTTTATATTGAATGCTTCTAGTGACCGTAGTTACCTCAGGTGCATTTGATACTTTTCTTCTTGTCCCCTTCCTGGACTAGTTTTCCTTGTTACTAGCATTATAAAAAAGCAGAGTTTATTTTCAGTATTTATAGAACTTAGTATTCTTGTGCTGCTTGGTTTTAATTTCAAAAGGCCACGGATTAAGAACCTTTGCCTTTAGGTACTGGTTTCCCTTCTTTTCTTTGGTGAAATTATTTTCTTCCGCCATTTCTTCTTAGGTTGTGATTTTCTACTTAAAAAATACTCATGGCAGGATTCACAAGGAAGTCTTCTCTTTCAGGAGAGGCATGGGTGTTCTAGTGCAGGATTTTCTCCAGGGCACTCATTAAGACAGTTGCCAAGTCCTGAAGTAGACTGTTGGTAAGGAAGACTTGGTGTGTGTATTTTTCTTACTCTTTCAGAATTCATGAGCTTTTGTATTTAGACTGGTTCTTATTCTTCAGTCATTGGCCTCATTGACTATTCTCACCCCATATTCTTCAAGGGATCTATGTTCTTTATGAAATCGATGTGAGAGAGAAACATCAATCAGTTGCCTCCTGCACACACACTGTCCGGGGATTGAGCCCTTAATCTGGGCATGTGCCCTGACTGGGAATCGCAAACCAGTGACCTTTCGGTGCATGGGATGATACTTAACCAACTGAGCCACACCAGCCAGGGCCAGTTATTGTACTTACAATTCCAGATTTCTATTGGTTCTTTTTTAATAGTTTCTATCTTTTTATTGATATTCTCAATTTGGTTAAATATTGTTCTCATACTTTTAGGTGGTTTTTTTTTTTAATTCTCTGAACATATTTATAATAGCCAACTTAAAGTCTTTCATCTGTCCAACCTCTGGGCTTTCTCAGGGGCAGGTTTTATTACTGCTTTTTTCTTGTGTGGCCAGAGTTTATGTTTCTTTCTTTTTTTAAAATATATATATATTTTTAAATATTTTATTGATTTTTTAAAGAGAGGAAGGGAGAGAGACAGAGAGTCAGAAACATCGATGAGAGAGAAACACCGATCAGCTGCCTCCTGCACATCTCCCACTGGGGATGTGCCCGCAACCCAGGCACATGCCCCCGACTGGAATCGAACCTGGGACTCCCCAGTCCGCAGGCCGACGCTCCATCCACTGAGCCAAACCGGCTTCGGCTAAAATATATTTTTATTGATTTCAGAGAGAAAGGGAGAGGGAAAGATAGAAACATCAATAATGAGAGAGAATCATTGATTGACTGCCTCCTGCACTCCCCCTACTGGGGATTGAGCTCACAATCCAGGCATGTGCCATTGACTGGAATCGAACCTGGGACCCTTCAGTCTGCAAGCCGACACTCTATCCACTGAGCCAAAACAGCTAGGGCTCATGTTTCTTTATGTGCCTTGTAATTTTTGTTGTTGAAAGTAGACATTTTATAATGTGTCAACTCTGGAAATCAGACCTCTACCCCTGCTCTACCTGGGGTTTGGTGTTGTTGCCGTTTGTATGTTTAGTGGCTCTCCTGAGTTAATTTTCTAAACTCTATATTCTTTGTTGTGTGAGGCCACTTAAGTCTCTGTTCAGTTAGCTTAGAGGTCTCCTAATGATTAGACAGAGATTTCTTAAAATGCCTTGAACCAATAAGGAGCAGGACTTGCTTAAAGGAATAATTTGTTTAGGAATCTGAAGTTTTAATGGTTGAGATGGTTATGTATTTTACCAGGATTTCCCAGTGCTTGCTTTCTAGTAGAGGTTTGGAGTAGGGTGGTGGACAAGATAGTTGGAAGAAGATGAGGAAATCAGCTAATTCAATTGCAGGACTGTCTTTAATAAGCCAGTGAGCATTGGGTATCTTCACAGTGGGGATAGGATATGTTGGATTTTCCAATCATATTGGACGATCAAACTATTCCTTGACACACACTTTGGGACATACTACTAGAGTTTTCATTGAAAGTACTTGAACTAAATTGTGGGGTGTTTTCAAACCTTTAGCAAGCCACAAACATAGCACTAGAAAAATAAGACTAGAGAGAAGGAAATGTTAAAATGAGAAGTCAGCCAGCCATAATTTTGAGGGGGAAAAATAGTGAATTTGTAGGATTAGTTCATCAGCATGCTTCCTGAGTGTCTGTATACTTATGTGTGCATTACATCCCTTCACGCTTTTCCCTCTTCGTTTCACAGATTTTTTTAAAGCCTCATGGGACATAACCATTGCTGGATGCCTGGTAGAATTAAGAAAACTGACTGCATGAGAGGCACTCTACATGGGCAAGAATGTTACCTGAATCAAAGAACTAAATGAGTCACACTTTCCTTAATTATAAATGGTAAAAAAGAAAAAATATATATATAAGCACTTATTGTAACATTATACTAATAATTGTCATTTATTTTTATTTGTATGATTAATATTCACAATTTATTTCCTAAGTAAGTATTTAAAATTTCTAGTGCCAATTCTGGTGTTGAAAATAAGTTTTAAAATCTCTATAAATCTGATATGGAGGTACTTGATGGTATTTGGTTTTCTTTGTTAGAACAGTAGCACTTAGTTATAGAATGAATTGCCAGGTTATAAAATTGATTTTTTTTGACAATAAAACAATATTTAAATATTTGTAAACATTTTATATAATTAAAGGTGAGTTAGGCCTGGCCAGGTAGCTGCTCAGTTGGTTAGAATGTCGTCCTGATACGCCAGGGTTGCGAGTTTGATCTCTGGTCAGGCCACATGTAAGAATCAACAGCAAATGCACAGCCAAGTAGAACAACAAATCAATATGTGTCTTGTTTTTTTCTGTCTCTCACTCCCTTTCTCCTTCTCTCTCTCAAATCAATTTTTTAAAAAAGTGAGTTGGATTCCTGGAATTTGAATAGAGATATAAATTTTGTCCTCAATTACCATTTGTGTACCACTTTCATTCTCCGAAAGTCTTAATTATTATAACCTGTTATAATCAATGCAAGAAATGCAAACCTGTCTCTCTGTTTTGAATTGGTGAGTGTTTTCTTCCTTTGATGCCTGGCGTAGAACTGAACTAAATGAGGTCAATCCAAAACAGTTCCAAATGTGGCCTGGTTTTAGCTGAGCTTTTCTGGTCCAGTTTGAAAATTCCATTGACAAGCTTTTCCTTCAAAGTTTCCTTAGAAGTTACAGCCATTTTTGAACATCTCCTAAGTGCATCCACAGTCCTAAATTGGTGAAGAGCTGAATGGGTCTGATCTCTTCAAATATTTGGGCCTGTTGATGTCAACTGATGGGCATTAATGGACCTGTCAGTAAGAACCCAGATTAGTAATGATTTCAAGGTAAGGGGTGCTAATTAGAACTGGCACAGGATCAAAAACCCACCAGCTATGGAGAGTTCAGTACGTATAGCCTAGGTCAGTGATGGCGAACCTATGGCACGCGTGTCAGAGGTGACACGCGAACTCATTTTTTTGGTTGATTTTTCTTTGTTAAATGGCATTTAAATATATAAAATAAATATCAAAAATATGTCTTTGTTTTACTATGGTTGCAAATATCAAAAAATTGCTATATGTGACTCGGCACCAGAGTTAAGTTAGGGTTTTTCAAAATGCTGACACGCCGAGCTCAAAAGGTTCGCCATCACTGGCCTAGGTCTTCAACTGTGTTCTACACTTTAGAGGTAAAATGCTTATTGTAAGATATTTTAGCACATCCTTATACTCGGGTTTTTTGTTTTTTTTTTTTAAACAACGTGACATTAATACTTGAGACTGTGGGTTTCTATTACAGTACTCCTTTTCCTTTGCTTGACTCACTGTTTTTATTTTAAAAACCTGACCTCATAGCAAAGAGGACAGTTTTGAGCCTGAGAAGATGTCATGGAAGACTGTACTTATAGGTATCCTTTCTGTTTTCTTCTAGTTCTTGCTCTTCTCCACTTAAAGATGCCTTCGCACTTCTGATAAATGCAAACCGAAAACTCACAAGGCCACGGCAGAGATAAAATCATTACTGCTGGAAACCTGGAAGACTGCCCTTAGAAAAAGGAAAGTCCCCGATTGTTGTTGGAAATGCTAAGGAAGTTGCTGAGGAGGAGACTTTTTTCTTATCCCACTAAATACTACTTCTTGTTTCTCGTTTTTTCCCTCGTTGCCTTCTCTGTTTTAAGAATTTATCAAAAGCCTGAATTTCTGAGCATTGAACATTTGGATCTAGTTGGAGAGAATCCTAATAGTAATATTAACTGCACCAAAGTTTTACAGGGTGATGTGGCCGAAATCGAAAAGGTAAAGCTGGAGATTCTAACAGTGCAATTTGGAAGGCGCCCTCGATGGACAACCTATGACTATATAAACATGACTAGTGATTGCACTTCTTTCATCAAGAGACGCAAATACATTGTAGAACCTCTTAGCAGAGAAGAGGCAGAGTTTCCAATAGCATATTCCATAGTGGTTCATCACAAAATTGAAATGTTTGACAGGCTCCTGAGGGCCATCTACATGCCTCAGAATTTCTATTGCATTCATGTGGACAAGAAATCAGAGGATTCCTTCCTGGCCGCGGTGACTGGCATTGCATCCTGTTTCAGTAACGTCTTTGTGGCCAGTCAGCTGGAGACTGTGGTGTACGCATCGTGGAGTCGGGTCCAGGCCGACCTCAACTGTATGCGGGACCTCCACAAAAGAAACGCAGGCTGGAAGTACCTGATCAACCTCTGCGGCATGGATTTTCCTATTAAGACCAACCTGGAAATTGTCAGGAAGCTCAAGTCACTAATGGGAGAAAACAACCTAGAGACGGAGAGAATGCCATCCCATAAAAAAGAAAGGTGGAAAAAGCACTATGTAGTGGTGGATGGAAAGCTGACAAATACGGGGACTGACAAAGAGCAACCTCCTCTTGAAACGCCTCTGTTTTCGGGCAGTGCCTATTTCGTGGTCAGCAGGAAGTACGTAGAGTACGTGCTAGAGAATGAAAAAATCCAGAAGTTTATGGAGTGGGCGAAAGACACATACAGCCCGGACGAGTATCTCTGGGCCACTATTCAGAGGATCCCTGAAGTCCCTGGCTCACTGTCCTTAAGTCATAAGTACGACATGTCCGATATGCAAGCAATTGCTAGGTTTGTCAAATGGCAGTACTTTGAAGGTGACGTTTACAAGGGCGCACCCTATCCACCCTGCAACGGGGTGCACGTGCGCTCCGTGTGTGTTTTTGGAGCAGGTGACTTGAACTGGATACTGCGCAAGCACCACTTGTTTGCCAATAAGTTTGACGTGGACATTGACCTCTTTGCCATCCAGTGTTTGGATGAGCATCTGAGGCTTAAAGCCCTGGAGACGTTAAAACACTGACATTTACTGTAGGCAATTTTAGAAATAATAAGGCGGCTACATGAGATGTATTCCATCTGATTCTTCGGCTCTATTAATTAACATCAGAAACACTGTAGGGGTTTAGAGCAAGGACTCTAAATCTTCTTGTCAGAGAATTCACATGGTCTCTGCAGAGCACAGCCGGTTAGAAAGGTTATGGCATTAAACCTTGACTTAGAGTTAATGTGAGGCCAAGGCAAGTTGCAAGGCATTGTGGGGAGAGGTGACCCAGGTGGCCCGGAAGAGGCCCAATGCAACAACCAGCCTGTTAAAAGAGCTCAGGGACTTCACAAAATGATAAGATTTAACCTGTGCCAAAATTGCTTTGAGAGCTTTAAATATGCCAGTCTTCCCAGTTTGAATAAATTTATAGCAGCAACCAATCATGAGGGTATAATTTATTTTGTAGGTTCTATTTGTTGAATTAGAAAATTGACATTACTGTAAATGATTCTTGTGAATATAATTTACTGTCTGCTGCAACATTGTGCTGTGTATTGTATCTATGTCATCTCAGGGAACTTGGAAAAAACGGGCTTGACTGAATGTAAATGTTTCTGAGTAATTTTTGCTTCTACCAATGTACGTATGTTTTTAAAAACAAAAAAACTGGCAATTTCTGGTTTAGTTGATTCTATGAATCATCTTAGATTATTAGAAAAGATATCTTAGGTTATTAAAAGAGTTAAGATATCTTTGTTTATGATGATAGTTTCTACAGAGTAACACTCAATTTTGAAAATATTTGTCTCTCTACTGCTCTCCACCATCTCTAGACCCTGCTATCAAGCTATATAAAAACTTGCTTTTCATTACCCCATAGTACTGCCTCAATTCTAGTATATGATTCGATTGACAGTAATTAGTGTAGAGAACTAAGACAGAAAGGTATGGAGGGGGAGGAGCAGGAGTCATATTTTGCCCATTTCTGAGGCCCACGGTGAGGGTTAAAAACCAGCAGTTGGCACTATCCCCAGAAATGAAGGCTGTTGCTCTTTGTCTCTATCCAGCCTCCCAGAGTCTTGCATCCTAGTGTCCCCTATGTCTCCATTTGAAAGAAACTGGTTTCATTGTCCTTGCTTCTTCATGTCACCTGCCCATTGTTCGCTTCTTAGCCCTTGGGTTGTATGTTTCTCTCTCTCAGAACCTATGAGGAAGGAAGAGGTGTTCTGTTGGTCTACTACACGGTGAACTTGAAGGCCTGGGAATCTGAAAGGGGCCATTAGGTTTGAGGCGGATTATTTCAGTATCGGTATTTCTCAGAGCATATGATTTTTACTCTACTTTTTCACCAAAAAGACAGATAATTTGAGTTTGCTATTTGCTGTCTCATCTCAAAGTAAATGAAGATATTTAAAAACAACAACAAACTTGCTCTTTTGCTAAGCTGATACTGTTCAGCCAAAGATCTAACTGGAAATGTGACTTTAAACAAAAATCAAACCATGTACTTTATTTTTAAAGCATAGCCCACTTAAATAATATATGAGAAATTCATAATGTCAGTTTTCAGGCCTTCAACTGAGAAAACATTTTTATTCCTCAAAGTTAGAAAACATTTTCATTTTATGGAGAAGTTTGTTATACTGACTGTCCTAAACAAAAGTTTCATGTTTTTTAAACCTTTATCATTTATAAGCGTGCAAGTCAGTGAATGGCTGTGTTTTGCATGATTTGATATTTGGAAAACTCAAGCGATAACATTGCTTAGGGTATTATATGCTTGGGGTTTCATCCCTGTTCCCTTCTAACCCAGTTTGCTCTTTTAATGCATGTCAAATGTTTCTCCCATTCTCTTTCAGCAGAAAGATTTTACCTATAAGTAGGGCATTCTTTAAAACCAATGATGTTCAGTGGTGCATACTTTGTGTCTGTGTCTTGTATTTCTACTTCAGTCATGGTGTCTTGTTTTATGGATTTTTTAAATTTTATTTCAAAAATTTGCAAATTAATAAGAAATTTAAAAGCAATAGTACAGGGCACCAAAGAGGTTTGATTCCCAGTCAGGGCACATACTTAGGTTGTGGGTTTGATGAGGGCATGCACATCTCACATCGATGTTTCTCTTTCCCTAACTCTCTCTAAAATCAATAAACATACCTTCAGGTGAGAATTTTTTAAAAAAGCAATAAGCAGTAATACAGGGAATACCATATAACCCTCTCCTGGAGTTATAGAATGTTAGTATCATGTCCCCTTTGCTTTTAATTGTATAGATTTTTAAAAATTTTATTAAAACTGTAAGTTTTTAAAAGTTTTTTAAAAATATATTTTATTGATTTTTCACAGGAAGGGAGAGGGATAGAGAGTTAGAAACATCGATGAGAGAGAAACATCGATCAGCTGCCTCCTGCACACTCCCTACTGGGTATGTGCCCGCAACCAAGGTACGTGCCCTTGACCGGAATCAACCCTGGGACCCCTGAGTCCGAAGGCCGACGCTCTATCCACTGAGCCAAACCGGTCAGGGCAAAGTTTTTTAAATTAACAATCATCCAAAGTTATCATTCATCTCAACACTTATTGTAGTGTGATTGTATCTGATTTACATTTAAGTGGCAGGTTTTAAGGGATTTTTCTTCACCCCAGATATAAAAATAGGATTTTAGAGTTCATTTCCCAAACCCCACACTAAAACTATAGACCCACCATCTTTTATGTAGCCATGGAACCTCATCTTTCTAGAATGGTACTTCTTGAAATGTGTCTGAACATTGCTAAAGACTGTTAAAGGGATTATGTAGAATTTGTTTATCAGGACTCATATCTTTCAGCTTAACCTAAAGCAAATGAAATTTATACTCCTATGACAAGCTAAAATTTAAAGAGTCAAAAAGTTCGTTTGAAACAGCCTACTCACCAAAGAGTCACAGGTTTGATTCCCCGTTAAGGGGCATGTACCTGCGTTGAAGGCTTGATCCCCAGCCCTAGTTAGAGCGTGTGTAGGAGGCAACCAATCTGTGTATCTCTGCCACATCTATGACACACACACACACACACACACACACACACAAAGGAAGCCCATACTACATTCAGGAGGGGCAAAACACAGGTACTTTGGGAAAGATTAAGAAGTTATTTAAATTGTTTCGTGTCAGTTATTAAACACTAATTTCTTTTTACTGTCATTTAAGAGCTTCTGTAGGAATTTATTATAACTCATTCACAAATGAATCCCTGAACATAAATAAACTGAAATTTTTTGATAGAAGGATTATTCTAGTTAATAAAGTATTGCAAGAAGTTTCAATATTACTTATTAAGGACAAGTTGACAAAAATATTTCTTTCTTTTATAGACAATTACCAGACAATGGTAAACAGCCACTCAGCCTTGTGAATGTGAAAGTTATTGGTCTCTAAATGTGTATTTGTGTCATTCGTCAAGTATAATTTACTTAAATGAAATAACATAAATGGGTTTTCTTTTGTAGTTATTTGGGGACGTGAAAGCCATGTTTTTAGTTTATTTCATTTGTAAGATCAATTGAACTGGATTTTTCCAGTTGCTTAGAAAAATACAAATAATTTCTCATTATGTTAAATATAAAATAAATGCAACACTGTTTCATGGTAAACATGGTTACTGTTAAGTTTACTCTTTTTAATGTGGGCATGACTGGATGCATTTGGAACTTGTCATATACCACCATTAAAATCAGCCATTCCAAAAGCAATGCCTCCTCTCCACAAATTATTCTTTTTTTCACTAGCTACCAGCACTCAAATGTTAACTTTAGTGGTTGATGTGGTGTTGTGTGTGAGTAGTGATTAAAAAATACAAGATTAATTCCCCAGGCAGAAATGTCTGACAAGAGCAGGAAATACAGCAGAGGTTATGCAAAAAGACTTAGACAAAGGGCGTTAGAAGGATGCAGTTTAATAGCCAGTATTGAGTTCTAGGGCATTACTAGCTTTCCTTTGTCTGCTGGGGGAGGAGAGCAGTTTTCCAGTCAGGTTTTCTACTCAACAGCCACAAATACTCACAGGATCTGCTACTTGCTGTGGTTCACATGTGGAGGGCACAGCGGAGGGAAAAGGGAAGCCCCTCCCCACCAGATACTGAGCGCTGTCTCCACAGTCCTCTCACCTCACCTGCTTGAAAACCCTGATTTAGCCCCCTTTCAGATGAAACAGTCTAGAAAGTAGCAAAATTGACCTCAGATTTTTCTCCAAAGCTTGAGAGCTTTACATATCTTTTGTAAGCCTGCTTGTCAAATAATTTTTTTAACATGTGCTATCTTAAAAGTTTTCAGAGCTTGTCATCAAAATATTGATTTAATTTTTTTTTGATGCACTAAGGCCCAAACTAGAATGAGTTATAACTATCAGACAAGAGTGTTCTCATTACTGTAGATGATAGGAGTGTCTAAAAAGCTCAGGAATCTTGTTTTGGGATTAATATGAAATTAGCAAATACCTCTAGATATCCAAAAAATTATGTTTTCCCATATTTAAGTAAAAAAAAAAAGTTTTAAGATATAATGGGAATATGTTCCCTTTCATCATAGCAATAAACTCTGTAAAATGTATTGGGGTCCAAGACAGGCTGTCTCAGATATCCCACAGTGGCATATTGATTACTTGGAATTAAATTTACTTGATAAGCAGCTGGGGCACCTTGACCCACCCCTGTCACCTTGAATGCTAGAAAGAAATCTCCCATGTGAAAGTTTTCCTGGCTGCACCTGGAAGCTCACCCTCCCCAACCCCCTTCTAAGGTGTTAACTCAGAGCTGAAAAGTTTGTATAATCAAATGACTATATATATATACACACAAAGCAAGGTATTAACCCTATAATAGACTCCCTCTTAACACAGGGTATATTGCTTTTTACTTCCTCACCGTGTACCAGTTTAATCTTGCCAGTGAAGAAAGAAGGCAAATTTGATTCAGCTAAGACTCAAATTTCTTGATTTGTATAAGACCTAAGAGCCATTAACTCTCGTAATTCCTTGGCACCTTACAGTCCCAAGTCTGACTACTATTCTCACCTCAATTCCTGCTAATGCAGCCTGGTTATAGTAGTTGACCGCGGCTCAGCTTTCTTTTCAATCCCTTTGCACCCCAGCTCACAATTTTTTTTTTTTGCATTTACATTTGCATTTACAGTTACCATGGACTAGCATACCTCAGGGATATTGTGAGTCTCCCTCAATATTTTCCAAAATCCTTAAAGCCAACTTAGATTCTGCAACCTTTACCCAAAGCTTCATGCTATTGCAATATATTATTGACCTTTTGCTCTGGAATCAAACTGAGCAGGAAACTCTTACAGATTCCCTCACTCTCTCTCTTTTCATCTTCACCAGAGGATATGTTTATTGATTTGAGACAGAGAGAAAGAGAAAGAGAGAGAAACATGGTTTGCCTCCTGTATGTACCCACAAGGGGATTGAACCAGCAACCTAGGTATGTGCCCTGACCAGGAATTGAACCTGCAACCTTTCAGTGCACAGTATGACACTCCAACCAACTGAGCCACACTGGCCAGGGCTCCCTCTTCAAGGTACTAAATGAATGAGGCCATAAAACCTCCAGTTATATTCTCAAAGTGTTGATAAAATTGTTCTAAATTTCATCTGAAAGAAACAATGTGCAAGAATAGCTAGGAATACTTCCAAAGAGGGAA